AAGAAATGAGAATTACTGCCTTTAGTGACATCTTTCGGAGCTTCCCTGAGAAACTCATTTGGTTTCTTTGTAATAGCAAATACCAGCCTTTAGTTAACACTCCGTATCCTCCCCTGCAACCTCAGTTTGCCCTCATCAGGAAGTTTGCTCATCTCTCAAGCTTGCTTTTGTCCCCAGTCCAACCACAGATGAGTCATAAGGGTTCTTGGCTAGCTTGCTATGTAACAGGCACTCAGCAACATTTTTGTTGTGTAAATGCTATGGGCAAGGTACTGTTCTACCTGTTGCACATATATGGTATTCAGACCCTTACAGCAGGGGTCCCCAACTGCCAAGCTTCAGCCTGTTAGGAACCAGGCTGCAGAGCAGGAGGTGAGTGGTGGGCAAGCATTAAATCCTCCTGAGCTCCACATCCTATCAGATCAGCCACAGCATTAGATTCTCATAGGAGCACAAACTCTATTGTGAACTGCGTATGCGAGGGATCTAGGTTGCACACTCCTTATGAGAATCTAATGCTTGGTCATCTCAGGTAAAACAGTTTTATCCCAAAATCATATTCACTCCCCCAACCAGGCCAATGGAAAAATTGTCTTCCATGAAAACAGTCCCTGGTGCCAAAAAGTTTGGGAACTGCTGCCTTCTATTATTGTTGTAATGACAGAGATAAATAACATTACAGGGAATTCTGAATCAAGTGTATACTGTAATGAGCAGCATGAATAGGTTTAACTATTTAACAAGATGAGGGAAACTTGGTAGAACTCAAGCAAGGTTTTCTAGAGATGGGTAGAACTTACAAAACTGAAGATAAGAGTAACCATTCTAGGAGGGGCAGTGGCATGGTAGAAAATGTAAGGCAGAGATGGCTTATATTTGTGGAAGAAAACCAGTTTGACTGAAAAGGAACACTGGTAGAAGGTAATAGAATGAGAGAATAAAAGTTAGAGAGGTGGGAAACCTGCAATGCCTGGCATTAGTTTTTATCTTTTAAGTACTGGAATCACTTGAAGACGTTTGATCAGAGAAATTTTGCATAAAGGTGAGTTTGGGAAAACTCAGTTCTGCAGGAATACTGAAGGCAGAAACTGCATAGAGGGGGAAAACCAGCAAAGAGACTATTATAATACTTGATACTTGAAATTATAAGGGGCCTGGATACAGAAAGGAGTGATGAGTGTGATAAACTTTGAAGTGATTGGGCTTAGTGACTTTATATGTAAAACAGATAAAATTTTTAAAATATTGACGATATCCTGAGGTTAAAAAAAATCAGAAGACATATCTAATCCTTGACTGAGGAATGCTAAAATAAAAAATAGTATTTTAAGATTTTAGATCTGCGAAGACATACGCAAGATGGCCAGGGCAAACTTCATGGGAGTGGGCAACCTCTGGTCATAGGGTTGGAAACCTTTCAGATAGAGGTAGAGTTTGAAGCCCAGTAGAAAAAATTTCCAAGAAAGCAAACTTAAGTTGAGAAAATCATAGTACTGAAAGAGAATTACAGCGATAAATTCATTTATGGATGACAAGTCAGCAAAAGAGAGAGTCAAGGAGTAGACTACAGAGCCAGTCTAAGCATGAAGCCATTGAAGCCACAGAAGGGAGAATCTCTGTAAATTGCTTCAGAGATTAAGATGAATGAAAAGCGGCAAATGAATTTTAAAAACAAGGAGGAGAATCTAGAATTATCCGTTGATGATATAAAGTGTGACTATAAAGTTTTGAGATCATAGTCATTACCTTACAGTCTTACTCAATAATTTTCACACTTGAAAAAGTCCTTTCTGTTGCATTTTTAATATCAAGAACTCAAAGGTTAATCAAGAAGTAAAGCATTTGTGTCTGAGATTTCACAGCCTTTTTAGATGCTTTCAAGACTTGGAAAGAAAATTGATTATTATTTAACCTGTGTGAGATAATATAGCTTTTATTCTGTCATTGAGATAGAATAATACCACTACATTATGTGACTTGAAAAAGCCATTTCCTCAGAGTTTTCAGTAATGTGCCAATTGTATTAAAATGTTCAGACTAAAGTGTTAAAAAGAGGAGATTGGTATTTTCAAAAGTTGTCTCATCCATAACCTTTCATCTCAAAACATTGTTAAGTGCAAAACACTTTATGTAATATTAAGGCATGTTAGATTAAATTTATACCTGTAATAAAGATTTATATGCTATAATGTCATCATTCCCAGCTTCTCTCGCGTTATTGCCTATTCTCCCTTCAAAACTCATCCTATGGCTTCCATAGCACCCTATGTTGCTCATCCTCCTCTCTACCCTCCGACTGCCCTCTTTCTGTCTTCATTACTTTCTCATTTATGCCCTAAATTTAAATACTTCTTGAGGTTCAGCTTTAGGCGCTTTTGTGTCTGGGTTTCATGTGTTTTCATCCTAGGGCTTAACAAGTACAGTTTCAAACTGTGCTCCAGAGCCCTAAAGAATGCTCAGAATTGTCTCAGAGGCTGCTGAGGAGGCTCGCTAGGGATGATTTCACCCTGTAAAGTTGAATAACCCTATCTCCATGTATTGAGGCTTCATGTAATATTTCATTTCAAAACGAAGGTCGTCTCTGCTGCTTAAAAACATACATATACAGCAAGAGAGAAAGATGAAAAAATATTAACTTAAATTTCTTTTTTGTATGAATGACACCAAAATCAATACCTCTCTTCTCTTACCTCAGAGCCATTCTTAGGCTTTCTTTCACACATTGGACATATTGACCTAAGTAAATGGTTGTCACTATCACATTGGATTCCATGTGTCTGACATAAAATTTACTGTCTTTCTCCTGCCAAAGTGGTTTTCCTTTACAGAAACTCCCATACTCCTATTTCTGCTCATTGCTTTATTGTTTTCTGAAACATGCAAGTTTTTTGTTTTTTGGGTTTTTTTTTTTAAGAAAAGGAATTAGTTTTGTATTTTCTTCATTGCTCAAAGTCATCAGTCCTTAAGATCTGTTGATTTTTCCTTAGCTGGTTCACCTAGTCATCTCTTTCTTACTATTACCATAGCTTCCATAAGGATCTGGGTATATAATTCCTCATGTTTTGGACTGCTCTCAGAACCTCCAAAGAAATCTCTTTGTCTCTAGGCTCTTAGCCCTGTGGTATATTTTCAAATCCCAAGCCAGATTTCAGTTTTCTTAAATATATATTTCTCATTCTCTTCCTACATAAACTCCCAAAGTATTTCTTCCTTATTTTGGCTGTGTTAAGTAAAGAACACACCAACTCCCACACCAAATAATGATACAGTATAGCATTTTATTTCATGCTTTGTATGTGCTAGGTACTGTGCTAAGCACTTTATATACATTATCTTATTTCATTTTCCAAACAATTCTATGAACTAGGTATTGTTATTATCTCTGTTTTATAGATGGGAAACAGAGATAAGCTAATTGCCCAAAGTCAAACAACAGATAAGCGTCAGAGTCAGGATTTGCATTCTGAGCCATCTGACATGGTAGGCCAAGTGCTGAAGCAATAAGTTCTTTGCCACCTCCCCTCCCCTTTTAATCAGGGAGGCATGTGGGTGGCTGGGCAGGAGCCACAGAAGACAACTGTCTAGGAGGCAGGTCTGTGCACTCTTGTTCAGGCTACACTCCTGCCCAGACTAGAGTGCAGTGGTGCAGTGATAGCTCACTGCAGTTTCAAACTCCTGGCCTCAAGCTGTTCTCCTACTTCAGCCTCCTAAGTATCTGGAACTACAGACACACCCAGCCTTTTCTTTACTTTTTCTTTTTTTTTTTTTTTTGTGATGGAGTTTTGTTCTTGTTGCCCAGGCTGGAGTGCAGTGGCACGATCTTGGCTCACTACAATCTCTGCCTCCCGGGTTCAAGTGATTCTCCTGCCTCAGCCTCCCGTGTAGCTGGGATTACAGGCATGCACCACCATGCCCGGCTAATTTTGTATTTTCGGTAGAGATGGGGTTTCGCCATGTTGGACAGGCTGGTTTCGAACTCCTGACCTCAAGTGATCCACCCGCCTCGGCCTCCCAAATTGCTGGGATTTACAGGCATCAGCCACCACTCCTGGCCCAATTTTCTTTACTTTTTGTAGAGACAAGGTCTTACTGTGTAGGCTGTTCTTGAACTCTTGGCCTCAAGCGATCCTCTTTTCTTGGTTTGGGATTACAGGTGTGAGCCACCATGCTCATCCTTACCAGCTGTTCTTCAAAAAGACTTAAAGCTCTCATTCATAAACTCAGTCCATAAGTTCATAAATTATAAAATAGTAGTGCTGCTGCGTCCTCCTTTGTGACTATCTTTAGCCTTCAGGTTGCCACTTTGTGATTTTTTTTCTCAGATTGTCCTTGATGTTTAATCACAAATTAATTTCACTCTATCAAAAAGTATATGAGATGATGTTCTGAAAATGATCCTGGTCCCTACCTCACTTCCTTTTGGCTCCAATTTTTATTCTTATTGATTTGAGGGATTTAGCCTGCGAGTTAAGTACTGACTGTTGTGAGAGTGTTGAAGTAGTCTTTATAAATCTTTGCTTCCTTCTCTAGTCATGTAGCATTTATTCATTCAGCCAATTTAGGGATCTAACAGTGAAGAAGATACATAAGGTCCTGCTTTCATGGCTCTTGTATTTGACTGGGAAGAAGTAGATATAAGCAAGTAAACAAAATGCTTACAGATTGTGATAGCACCTGGCATTTAGTAGTTTCCCATGATGGTGGCTGTGACTGGGAAATGGGCATCTGTGTGCTGTGTGTGCACCAAGAGCCACAGTAGGAGAGTGCCTTGCAAAAGCACACATCTTTCAAAAAGAGCACACATACACATGTTCCTTATGTTTAGTCCCTGGTTTAACCATCTCATGCTTAGATGCAACATATGGATTTTACTTTGTTATTTAGTTACCTAACTTCAAAGAGACTGTCAACAATAATGCTCTTCCTATGGCAAAATTAATATAGCATCAAGCCACTTTCACAGGTGCTATGTTTCTTTTTTCCTCCTTTTTACTCCCCAGGATGAAATGGGACCTAGAATCAAAGAAGCAATAGGTTTTCTCTATACCTGTAAAAGATTAGCTTTTCATCATTGGGGATGATGCAAGCAGGAAAACTAAATGCAAGAAAACAGAGATGAAGCCAAAAAGGACAATTTCTGATTGTAATAGCCGGTTTCTGTTTCATATCACTAAGCAAGATGAGAAAGTTTTGTACAGTTTTATAAGAACAGCTTCCACAGTTCTAAACAATGACCTCACCCTCAATGCCCTTGCCAGGTGCTTAGCCCCACTGTGAAAACACAGGTTGATTTTCAACATGAAGCAAGCCAGAGTATGGAGTGATATTTTCAGGTGACAGTTGGGGCTCTATTGCCTGTAATTAGCACCTCTTAACCCTCAGACTTGCCCCTGCCTTTTTCAGGCTGTTGAAGCTCAAATCCGAAGTTTTGGACAGACGCCTTCTCAGCTACTCATAGAGCCCCATCCTCCCAGAGGTTCTGCCATGCAAGTGGTAAGTGCTATTTTTACTCTCCTTATTTCTTGCCCCTCCTTCAGATCATTCTTGATATTCATAACAGTCTTTCATTGTGCTTGAGTTTCTCCACCACATGTGGGCATGTTCTTCTTATGCAATATTTGTTAACCTGCTAACAAACAGCAGATGTTATTGCATTGTCTCCTGGAGTCTTTGAGAAGGTAAATGTTGCTTCAGTACTCTTGTATGTCATCAGTTTGTGTCTTGTGTTACAGAATTAAAAGGTCCATAATTGTCATGAATCCTCACTGTAGGATAAAAGACTCCAGACATAGGGTTCATGAATTTTCTGGTTTGATCCTCTGAGTTTCTAGATTAGTTTTGCTATTGTGTTTATTCTTTACATTCCAATATATTTTTCACTTTGGAAATTTTAAAACAAATTCTAATACATAAGATATTGTTACTGAAGGTCAGGGACCACAGTGGGGAGAGAATGATGGTTTGGTATAACAAACCACCCCAAACTTAGTGACTGAAAACCGTATTTTATTTCTCATGATTCTGAGGGGTTAGATGAAAATCTTTCCTGCTCTTTTCACCTTGGCTCATTCACACACTGCAATGGGGTGTGCTGATGTAGCCGGGCTTCTCTTTCCACATGGTCTTTTATCCTCAAGGAAGCTAGACCAGGCCACTCCCATAGTGGGAGTAATTCCACAAGAATGAAGACAGAAGTGGCCAGACTTCTTGAGGTTTGCTTTTGAACTTATACATCATTTATGTCACATTTGATTGGTCAAAGCAAGTCAAAAGTCAGCCCAGAATCATGGGTAGGGAAATAGAGTTGAGCTACAAAATAATGTGGCCATTCTACCTCTATAGTTGCCAAAATTTCAGGGGAAAATTCTTGAATGAGAAAAAAAATTAGAACAGTAACAAATGGAATTGCATGATTAACATAATTCTTGAGGAATAGACTATAGATATTATTTTTTAATTGTGCCTCATAAAAAGAAGTTTCTCATTGCTGTTTTAAATTAAGAATATAGACTATAAAGTCTGTTCCTGTAAATATAATGAATAATTATATAAAGTCAAATTCCATTTTGTTGGGTAGAGATGGCAGAATTTTGATAAATACCGGGAAGGAAAGAGTAGCAGTGAAGAGAATAAGAAATAGAGAGGAGGCCCTGCTACCTCTGGCTCTTTTTTCCTTCTTTTTTTCCTTTCTCTTCACCCATCACCTTCCTCTCTGTGTCTTTTTTCCCCTCTGTGCTCTTTGTCATTTTCTTTCTTCTTTTAGGATTTTTTTTCTCCTTCTTTCTCTAGCAATATGAATTGGCCATCATAAACTATACACATTTTAAAAATTGTTTGCATCACTCTTTCTCTTACATGTTTTTAACTCAGTAAAATCAGATTTAGATGAACATAAAGAGTGACTTTAGTGGGTAGAAGACTACACAAAGAGCAAACATTTAGCAAGAACAATGGAAGATAGTGCCATAAAATAGTAAGAATGATTTATGTTTGCGTTTGGAATTAGCTTTAGTAATAGCTTGCCATTGAGACTCAGGCTGCATTGGTGCTGGCAAATGGAAGCACCTCCCCTGCTCCATTGACTTTCTGCCGGGGTCACTGCCCAGCCTTCCTCCATGGCAGAGGCTTATTGACTCATAGAAGCAGAGCAGCTTTGCTATCTTGAGGGTGAGAAGGCTGAGAATGCTCATGCTCATATAAGGATGGGAGGCCGTCTTTTCCATTACCTTTATCCTCTAAATTGAATACCCGAACTCCTCTTCAGACTTGCACAAATTGTGTTTTTCGCTTTGCGCATGTGTGCATGGGGGGAAAAAAGGCATTTTAAAAAGAAACCAGAATTGTCAACAAACATACACTGAATCTGGGAAAACTGATGAAATCTAGCTAGCAGTTTCCTACTTGTACCTCAGGCTTGGCTCACAGAGGTGCCCATGATTAAAAGAGGCTTTGTTTCTCTTATCCCTATTTTACCAGTTCTGCTCATCTGCAGCTGCTGTCATCACTTTAAAGTAGCCCAGTAGGGTGGGGTGGCTTTTCTTATTTCTAGTGCTTCTCATTCATACCCTTTAGCCAAGGATATGATAGAATGCCCAAGAGAGTTTCCTGCTACTTGCCTGCATCAGGAGCTCTAATCAGGATGGGTTGTGCAGGAGCAGACTAGAGGGACAGATAGTTGTACGAATGCAGTGGACAGCTCTGGATATGGTGTCTGCAGCTTGCCGTGGAAAGTGGCTTGTCCTTGCCGTGTGGCTTAGAGTTGGCCCACCAGAGTAATTGTGTAAACAAGAAATTCTTCCTACACATTAGAGATTTTTTTCATGTTTTTTAAGGGCATAAACATTGGAACTATTCAATTTGAGCCTAATTATATTTATAGTATGAGCTGTTAAGCTCTGAAATATGTATGTACTTCCTTTCAGTGAGACTTTATGATTATGTTGTACTCTGATTTTCTCTGAGTTTATAAATTGACTTAGTAAATATTCTTTAAAAACTATATAATTGAAAAATAAGACTTGGTACTTGGAAATGATGTTCATTTCCTTTTCCCGGGACTTCTTTAAAATTAGCTTATGGATATTTTGTTTCATGTTGCTCCTTGTTTTTCATTTTTACCTAATTTCACAGAATTTCTTAAAAACTATCTAAAAAAGTTCTTTTTATGATAAAAACTACTTATTGATACTAGGGTTTTAAAAATCAAAAGCCACGTTTATTAACTGTTTTTAGTAACATTCAGATGAGCTTCCCATTACCCATCAGTGCACCCCACCACACACATACACACACACACACACACACAGACACACAGACACACACACACACACACACACACACACACACACACGAATATAGCAGAAATTAAAGCCACCTCGTGCTGCGTTAAGTGCATGAGCCATAATATACACCAGGTGTAGTAATTAGCAGGCACACGAAGGCTGCCTATTTGTCTGGTTTTGCTGCTGTTGCTGTATCCCCCTGTGTTTTCACACCATCAGATAGTTGGATTTAATTGAGGCCACATCAGATGAGGCATTACTGACACCTTTAATTGAATGAGCATCCAGGGAGGATTAACTCATAATATTGATTGGCTTTTAGCCACTTGCTCAGAAGGGTGTCTGGGTAGCTTATTAGTTGCCTTTATTTACACCTTTATGCAAAGAGTGCAAATAGGAATTCTTAGTGCAATATGTTTTTCTAAGTACTCTTAATAACTTTTTTAAAAGGACTGATAATAAAAATGCAAATGTATTTAATTTTTTATTACCAGTTCTGAATAAATATGTTAAATATATGTGCCTCCACATTTACATATACCTGGTGTTTTGAAATATAGCAGAAGGAAAGCAGCCAGAAGCATTTCATCAAAGTGTTCCAATTCTGAATGATACTAATCAGCTATTAGAAAACAGACATGGTAGGAGAGAATTGCTGAAAATGTACAGTGCAATTACTGTATGATAGCATACTACCCCAAAGTATAAATAAAGTCAATAAATCAGAGCAGTGTTATATATGTCTTGGATTATGACATATGGGTTGTAAGAATGTTCCAAATCCTTAGTAGTCTTCAAGATTTATTTTGTTGCTGGTTATTAGAACAGACAGTGATTCATTTAACATTCTCAATTACTCTCTGTTTTTCAAAGGAGAAATCAAAACAGTCTTGAGCTTTAGTTTTGTTTGTTTTTTAACCAACAGGGAAGAGGAGCACCTAGGTATTTCTCTTTATTCCTAGCTACAGCAGAAAGCAGTGGCATTTGCATTATAATAGGCAGTGTTTATGATTTGGTACACTATATAAATATATTGTTTTTACAAGTACATTTAATTATGCATTGCTTTCCAACATCTTTATAATTGTTTGTATATTACATTCATAAGTTCTCTACTGTAATAATATATGCATGTAGTCTAACTATTGTTTATAAATGTATTTGTTTTCATTATCTCTTTATAGTTGTCAAAATCTTCCTGCTAACTCAACACAACTTTTGATGATCTTTGGAAATTACCTTGGCTTGCTTTTATGCCTGTTGTCCATTCTTACTCTTTTTTGTGTGCTAAAAGATAATTATGTGATACATGATAGCAACCAGGATGATTTAATGCAATCCCCAGCACTTTGCCTATGTAGATTCTCAATCAAATCATTCTTTTAGTTTTTCATGGCAGTGGGGAGGGAAAGGGAGCTCATAAAATTTATAAATTTTAAAGTGTTTCTGTTAATGTATTCTACTTCAATCCCCAAAAATTCCGACTAATGACATACATGAATAACAGCCAAATCATGACTGCTGTTTCTACAAGCCTTTCTGCTCACTGTGCTTCCACTTACAACTCGTGTTAACATGGTCTTCCTCTTCTTTTCCTGTACCCTCTCTCTTTCTTGTCTTCCTTTGTCTTTTCCTTTTTGTATATTTGGGTCTTGTCATGCCCACTCAACAGTATCTCCTCCTGCAGAGTCCATTGATGTTCACAGACAAAGCCCAGCAGGATGTTATCATGGTCCTCAAGTTTCCCTCCAACTCCCCTGTTACTCACGTGGCAGCCAACACCCAGCCTGGTTTGGCAACTCCTGCTGTAATCACAGTCACTGCTAACAGGTTATTTGCCGTGAACAAATGGCACAATCTTCCTGGTAAGTAAAGAAGTACCATTATAAGGTATGGTAACTGCTGAACACTGTATAATACACACTTAAGTATATCGTATCTCAACATTTAAGCTTTCAGTTTTCAAGCATTAGTCTGAAACAAATTGTTCAATAGTTTGAAAGGCTTAAAAAAGGCCCATGTGAGGCATATAGTACAAATGTTAAAACCTAATATTTTTTAGCTTCTGGTGATTTATCTTTATCCTTAGAGATAAATATTGTTTCTAATACAATGTTTTAATATAATGATATTCTATATTATGTCCATAAACAGTAATATTTATTTATTTATCAAATGTTTTACTTTTTTACTCATTCATTTTACTCAGTATACACTTGGTCTTTTTTTTGTTGTTTTTTTCTAATTTTGTTTGTTTGTTTTTAGAGACAGGGTGTTGCTCTGTTACCCAGGCTAGAGTGAAGTATTGTAATCATAGCCCACTGTAGCTTTGAACTCCTGGACACAAGCAATCCTCCCACCTCAGCCTCCTGATTAGTTAGGACTACAGACGCGGACCACCATGCCTGGTTAATTTTTTTTTTTTTTTTTAAACTTTTCATAGAGATGGGCTTACTATGTTGCCCAGGCTGGTCTTGAACTCCTAGCCTCAAGCAGTCCTCCTGCCTCAGCCTCTTAAAGTGCTGGGGTTAGAAGCGTGAGCCACTATGTTCAGCCACAATAAAGACTTATGATCGTCTACTATGTGCCAGAAGCTGTACCTTTTTGTGCTTGGCCTGATAATATTGGTAGTATTTGTTAAGGATAAAAAAAAAAAAAAAAAAAAGAACACTTAGATTACATAGCCAAAATACTGCATATCTGTAAGTACCTTCTATTCTTCTATTAAGTGTTCAACACAGTTATGCTCAACTGAAATAACCATTAGAATCATAAACAGTGCAGATTTTAAGAGGCATGAAAGTTTATCTGTTCCAGCCATTTTTTGCCAGTGAGGACAATGAGCCCAGGGAGCTCGCCTCATTCTGCATGAAATATGCCCAGTCAGTGGCAGAGTTTGAGCCCAGGTTTTCTCACTCAAATTTTATGACCACCCCTCTGTGCTGTATTCTTTCTCATTAGAGCAGGAAAGTTGGGACCTGGATTAGCACTGTTCTTTTTGGCTACCAGTTAGAATTTTTTGGAAGAAGGAGGAAAATGTTTTAAAGTTCTGGAGATTGTAGGCCTTTTTCCCAAGCCATTGTTTTAGGTAGGAAAATTTAAAAGATAAATTTTAGTAGTTCATGAAATTGTCATTAAATCTCTAAAGTGTACATAAAGCACTGCTCATTAGAATACCTGAAATAGTTGCAAAAATACAAGTTCTTGAACAAAGACCTCATGCCAAATTAAATTCAACAGCTTCCGCAAGGGAACAAAATGTACATTCAAACCAAAACTTGGTACATTGACTAAGCTCAATATGGCATACCTCCCACAAAGAATCTGTAGTTGGTATTAGAATTGATTAAATATAGCCATTTTCCTACCTATATTGGAAATGAAACAATGAAAATAAATGCCAATATTTGATTACAAAATAGATTTCAGAAAAGGTAGAGACAGTAAAAATGGAGGCAGGTATATAATGTCTCTGTTATTATGTCCTTTTATTCCTTTTTCTTTAAGTGAACTTCTCTTCACAGAAGTTAGTATGTATGCAAATAACATACTTATATTTTGGGACTAAATATTATAATTTATTTAAGAAGCATGATTTTTTTTTTATTTCTCTAAACCATGTTTTCTTTTGAGAAGAAAAACATGCTGGTGATATGTTCTATCAAATATACTAGAGGATTTAGGTACTCTGTGTGCAGATATCCTTAAAGCATTGCAACAGCATGCGTGACTTCAGGGGCACCACTGATGACGCTTATCCTGGGTGGCTATTTGTGCAGCCCTGAGAACTTATTCAGTTTAAACAGAGTGACAGCACACATGAGGAGGGGCAAACCTTACAACTGCTGGAAAGCCCTGACTGTTCTCCGGCCCCATCTTTACTTTAGCCTAGGAGGTGCTGGCTTAGAGAGAACTGAGCTGGCTCAGCCACAGGGCTCCTAGGTCTCCAGCTGATTTCAGGTTTTAGCACTGATAACCCTAAGTATTGATGACCAAGCTTCTGGCTTTCCCCTTTCCAGCAAATCCATGTCCCTCACTAAAAAGCTTGCTTCCCTTAGTACCTAGTGATCAGAAACTCTCTTCCCCACTTCCAATTTTTGTATAAATAAATATTTAAAGTGATTTAGGGGTAGAGTCCCACTGCAGGTGTACCACTTAAGATGCATTTAACTGTTCCCAAGCCTGGCTAACCTTTCTGTAAGATAGCTGGGGAACCTGCATGGTTCTGCAGATTCTACCTATATTTCTCCTCAATGAGCCATCGTTATGTCTGTAACTGTGTCATTAGAGATGTTTGTCTTCACCCTTTCCATACATACTGCCTTTACAGTATGACACAGCAGCTCTTCATCAGAAAAATATAAAAAGTGGTAACATGAGAATACACCAATACACCACAGGCAGTTACCTTTCTAGAATGTGATCTCCAATTTGAGCTGCACCTACAACTAAGAATATTAGGCATTTATTATATTAAATCTATGCTCTATTTTAGATATGTTTATATAAATCCAACATTTCATTCTATCTCTTGCTATCTTTACCTGTCACTATGCCTTGATTTAAAACAAGCATCAAAATTCCCTGAAAGTTTTCTTCAGTAAATATCAAGTTCATATTACAATATGTATATATTTTTAATGTTAGGTTCTGTTTCTTTTCTGAGGATCTATGATTTCCCTAGCTCATTCATTAGACAGCCAGTTCCCCTCAGTTCTTTGAGTAGTATCTGATTTAGATAATAAATCATCTTTAACCTCCCTTCTCTTTCAAGAGACCTTGGAAACCTCCCAAAAATAGAGAATAACAGTAGCAAATGTTTATAGAGCATTTTCTAGTTTCTAAGTACTGTTTTAATCATTTTATGTGTATTAACTCAATCTCCTCAACAACCTGAGGATGCAGATTCTGTACTTAGATTGGACCATATAAAACTGCATTTTTTAATAGGTCAAAACAGTCAGGTATTGGCACTTTCATATAGTTCAGTCTAACACATCTAACCTATTTTATAGATCAGGAAATTGAAACACAGAGATTACATAACTTGACCAAGGTCATACAGGCAGTCAGTGGCAGAAGTGGGATTTGAGGCATGACCAAACCACCTTAAACCTATTTTCACTGCCAGTTTGGTTTTAATGTTTCTAAGATCTCAGATTCTCAGAGAAGCAGAGAAAAATTCCCAAGGTATTAGTGTTGATTGGCACTGGCATTGCTGGAAGTAAGTGGCACTGTTGGGTAGACCAGAGGCTGTGGAACATTTTTCCTGGTCCTCCCTTGTGAGCATCCTGTGATTTCTTTACCAGGAGAGCCAGTAATCAGCAAAGACACATACCTTTCTTTCTTTCTTTTTTTTTAAAAAAGGAGTCATTTTGGTTTCTTTTTCAACTACTTTATTTTCTTACACATACTTTAATTTCTAGTGCCAATATTTTACTTAGGTATTTCATAAGTATTAATGACCTTCTAAACATCCTTTAAAAAGTTGGTATTTACTAACTGGAAAAACTATGACAGAGTAAGCTTAAAATAATCTAATGAACTTATTGAAATGTACCCCATAGTTAGTTTCGACCCCTCAGAGACAGATAGATTTTCTAAAACCTGATGGTAAGACAGGAATACTACAGGGTGATCACAGGAGAATAGAAAATTCCAGGCAGCAATTTCTTGATTTGCAAAAGAAAACTACTGAAGTAGCTGCAGAAGCTAGGAGCTGATATGACCCTGAAAATCCAGGGTGCAGGCCAAGCTGGCTGAGACTGTCCGGACCCAACATGACGCTGAATTTGATCTAGGCTTGACGTAGAACCTCATTATATGCTCATTAACATACAAATCATACACCCACCAGTGCCATGACTGTTCCGGTACCACCCATATTTGGTGTAAAAATGGATGGCACCACAGTTCTGAGAAATCACCACCTTTTTCCAGGAATCTTCATAAACATTCCACTCCTTCGTTAGAGAAACCCATAGAGATAGGAACCCCAACCCTCCTTGTACACGACTCTCTCTTGAGTACATCCACACTCCCCTTTTGAGTGTGTACTTTTTGCTTTGCAATAAATCTCCATACTTTTACTATTTCCTGAATTGTCCTTGAGTTTCTTCTCACTATGGTTTCAAGGGCCTGGTCACCAGCCAGGGTTGAGGTCCCACTAGCATTTGGGGACCTCCCCTAACCCACCGCTATCAATGGCATATTAAGCAGAGCTCTAATATCAGCCAAGCAATAATGTGAATGCTTGTGAGTCTATAAAAAGTAGATACTGAGCAGAGTGAATGGTTGAGTCATTTGGGGAAAATAGTTTGGAAAAGGGCCCAGAAATTAACTATCAGAACTATGAAGCTGAAAAGATAATCTATTCTGAACCCTGTTTTATGGTTTATGATTTGTGCAAGGTTGCATCAGGTAGTTCCTGATTCCTAACATACTTCCTCTTTACCAAAAGTCCTTTTCCCTTTCACAGTGAAACAGCCTGCAAAACCTCTCTTCAATTATAAAATAAGCATGCCTGAATCCTTAAAACCATTTTGAGAATTGAACAAACTATTCTTAGGATAGATTGATTTTTGTTATTCATTTGCTTCTCAGAGTATTTTTAAATTGAAACCATGGAAATATTAAATATTAATAAAACGTATTTTTAAGCCCTCAATCCAATCTTTAAGAAAATATTTCAGCCAAATGCATTTAACTGAAACATTTATCTGTGGATAGCTTTCTTTATTTTTATTCAGACTTTCAATTGATTGATTTTAAGTGATGGATGAAACATTAAATGTTCTCTGACTTAGAGCTTTCCCTTTCTCCATCATAAATTGGCATTTTTGTGGATCCTTTGTGTTCAAAACTGCCTTTTTAAGAAGTAACAAAAAAATAGTATTTGCTACAGTCAGCAGATGGTTGTCACATTTTGTTTTCAGTGCGCTTTACCACTTAATTTTGTTTTGTTGCAGCATCAGAGGTTGCCAGTCAAGCATCTGCTATAGCTTATGGCCTAGGACTGGAGCCACTGCTGATGGCACATGTTCAGAGCGGCACTAATCTAAAATAAATGTTTAATAAGCTAGCCATAAAAGCACCTGGATTTTTCTTCTTTAAATTTCGCAAAACTACATGAAAGATTTAGAGATTGGAAACGATTCTACATAAGGTTTGACTTATGCATTTTTATATAGTTTAGTATATAAAAAATAATGCCTTTTTTCTTTATCTTTTGTGAATTCCAGCTCATCAAGGTGCTGTACAAGACCAGCCATACCAGCTGCCAGTGGAAATCGATCCTCTCATAGGTCTGTCACTTCCTTCTCTCTTTGCGATTCATTAAGCTCTGTATGGTGGCCCTGAAGTGTAGATTACAGTTGTTTTTCACTTGCTGGTTGCTGGGAATGGAATTTTCCTGATAAACCATTTGCATGCAAATTGGAATGCAATGAGCTGTGGCTATGCTGGTATTTCATCAACTCCCCCTCGTTGGTTTGCCTAATTTGAACAGGCCTAGGACGCGTGTCACTGAAAATTAATATGGATGCTGTAATAATGTGTGATTGAGAATGCGCATGAAGTACTGTCAGGATAATATTGGATCTTTTCATCACTCAGACTTGTTGATGAGCAGGAGCAAGGCACGTTATGATGAATTGGTGCACCGGTAATGTGATGGAGCTCCTTTACTAGGAAAATTTTCATAATAACAGTGGGGTTCTTAGCAGTACTGTGTTATGAAAAATAAAACTGTAGTGCCAGGGTTTCATCATTAAAGGAGATCAATCCTTTCTTCCTAGACCCTCTGTTCAGTCTGAGGGGATTAATGTGCAATTGCAGAGCAGTTTCAAAGTTGAAATATATTGCCTAGCCAATGGTAGTGTTAAGATATTTGTATTCATTTTCCTAGGGTCCTACAGCCCAATAAATTGCCATTGGAGGTTAAATTTGTTCAGGGGAGAAAAAAATAGGGAGGAGACCAGAAAGAGCCATTGGGATGAAATGAGCATCTGCAGCAGATGACTTAGAATATTTAATTGCTGTTACGCTTTTTGAGTAGATTAGTTGAAATCTCTAGTTTAGCATTTTTCATCCTTACATGTGTGGATTTCAAATGTGGCATCACATTAAAGAATGTTAAGCCTCGATTTTGAAGTTATTTAATAATATTTAATAATATTGAAGTTATTTAATAATTTTTAGAATAAAAAACTTGCTTACCTGTGGGGTAATGCTGTCAGCATAGATATTTAACTTGCAATTTTGTCAGATTTTTCTGGCACAAATAAATTTGTTAGAATTTTAGTGTTTTTTAAAGAAAGCATATAAATGAGCAGTTTTATTATTTTAAAATCCAAGATGTTCCATATATATTACCATTTTTGTCTTTAAAAAACATTGTTTCAATGGAGAGCTAAATGACTACCATTAGCAGGATGACTATCAGGATGAACAAAAATAACCTCTAAACCAATTCATTTATCATTTCCCCAAGTATAACCAGAATCTAATATGTAATTATCTATATGAAGGATAAATACCACTCTGGTTCTTAAATCTTGTTTTTCTTTGAGTAGATATGATTTGCCATATATTAAAAAAAAAAAAAAAACTAAAATGCTCACTTGGGTAGTTTAAAAGTCAGGAAAATAATGAAGCCCATTTGCTGAGTCATTTAAAGCATGATTTCTGAATTTTAGACCTATCATTTTCTTTGCACCTTGACAATGAATATTCTACACTATAAAGTCTAATTAAATGAATTCAGCAATTGTTGTAACCCTTTAGAGTAAGCATGGGTAAACTTTTTTGGTAAAAGTCCAGATAGTAAGTATTTTAGGTTGAGCATCTCTAATCTGCAAATCTCAAACCCAAACTAGTCCAAACTCTGAAACTTTTTGAAGACCAATGTGACACCATTAAGTGGAAAATTCCACACCTGACCTCATGTGACATACATTAAAAACACAGTCCAAACTTTATGTCAGTCACAAAATTATTTAAAATATTATATAAAATTACCGACCTTCAGGCTATATATATATCAGGTCCATATGAAACACAAATTAATTTTGTGTTTAGACTTGGGTGTCATCCCCAAGATATCTCAATATATACAAATATTCCAAAACCTGAAAAAAAAAAATCGAAATCTAAAATACTTCTGGTTCCAAGTATTTCAGATAAGGGAAACTCAGGTTGTTCTTAATTCTGCCAGTATAGCACAGACGTGACCATAAAGAAAATACAAATAAAGGAACATAGCTGTTTTCTAATAAAACTGTATATACAAAACCAGGCATGGGCTGGATTCAGCCTTGGATCATAGTTTTGCTGTCCCTGCCCGAGATTACTGGTCAACAGACTTTATTCCTCTACCTCCTAAAAGAATTCTTTAAAACCATGTACCCTCTCAGACATTTTTAAGTTGACATCTATAAGTTTTCATCACAAGTTTAAATGGTTGCAAAGGTTATAAGTTCTGGCACAGTGTAAAAGCTGTTTAATATATCCAATGGAATCTAAGTATCAGAGTGAATTGATACTCAGTAAACAAAATTTTAGTTTATTTAATAGAACCTAAATATTAGAGTGAACTGATATTCAATATTTTGTTTCTAAAAAATACATTTAAAACCCGTTAGCATTTGGAAGTTTCACATTATTACTTTTTTATCTTGAATTTATATTTTTATTCTACTTCCCCCAGATAATATTATGTTAACGTTAAAAAATTGATTACTCTATTATGCTTTTCCGCCAAAAAATGTGTTTGAAAAGTTAAGCATATGTATTCAATTTAAATTTTAAAAGTTCCTATCACCATAAGGCTCAACTTTTAAAATAAATTTATCTGTATTGAGTGATTATTACAAATATTAATGTATTTATAATTATAAAGTTTAATAAATGTTTATTAACATAAAATGAATATTGATTGGAAATTTATCTTTAATGAAATAGATAGGGCTTCCCCCCCTCCCCCCCAGTTAACACATATATTCCTGGATAAATATTATTTAATGCTGCACAAGACAGGATTTGTCAGCAAATCCTGACAATGGAACCTCTGAGCAATGTTACTTACTTTAGAAAATAGATGGGAAAGAGCTTTGTTTCAACTGTGCCACTCAAATCTTTGAACTCTTTCTTCATTAGTGGCAAAATTCATATAGTGATCTGTTACTAAGATTATTTTTATGGTTTATTATTAAATTATCTATAATTTTGACAGTCTGTCATTAAAACTTATTTTTAATGATCTACCAATTGACAGCATGATTGGATCTTCATTCCATTTTATTGAAAGCAGTAAATTGGAAACCACCTGACTTGCAGAATGATTTGATATCTGTACATTCACTTTTCAGTATCACTTCATCATTTTGAATTGTACCTTTATTGGAGGCAAGAAATTATATTCTGGGGTAAAGCACATAGTAAGATTCTGTGTGGACGGGAAATATGTCCTTATTTTATCTGGTGGAAGAAGGGCATGAGAAAGTGGAGGTAAGAGAGGAACACTCACAGGAGAGTTCTCAGGCAAATCGATTTCAAGCAGTAAAATATATTAAAATTGAGAAATTAGAAACTTGCTGGTTTTAACTTCTGAACCTGTGTATCTCTTAGGAAGTCTTATATCTCCAAGGGTATACATACCCTAGTTTGAAGACTGCTTATCTAGATAAATATACCTTAGTTGGATGGGGGACTTGGCAGTGTTAAATTACAAGTAAGCACTTGCTTAGAAAATAGTTCATGTGTTTGCTGAGGGGGCATCAGTCTTTGCCCATGGGTACTTTGTGGTCAGTCAATTCAAAATTATGTACATGCCCAAATCTGTTGAGGTTCTCCCAAGAGATCACCCCAACCCCCCAAAAAAGATCGCAAAAGTTTATATCATAGGAGCGAAAGTCATATAAACACTGACAAGAATGAACATGTCTACAGTTCTCATGCGGAATGAAGTATTGCAGTAACCAGTATAGAAAGTACCACAGACCTTGTTTTAATTGCTAGGTTTATTGGAATTTAAAAAAATTGTATCACACAACTTCAATGGGATACTTGATTGTAATTATTGGACACCGTCTCCGTGATAACAATATGATATCCATAAAAGCTTTTCTCATCTGCCAGCAACTTCCCATTGTTAGAAAGAGAGGAAAAAAAAATAATTCCCAACAAGGATTCTGCCCTTTTTACTACTGCTATCACTTTCTAGACCAGTAATCCTCCAAAAGCATATGAAGCTTCCATTATGAAATAGTTATCCAATAATCTTAAATAGTTGCATACACAGACATTAGCAGGATTCTGCAGTGTTACACGTGTATGTGTACATGTGTGCCTGTTGTATGTGCCATGAGGGCAGCAGATCCGTCAGACCTGTGTCCACTGTGGTTCCCATCACAGCACTGGAGAGTATTTTGAATACTTTTTTTTCTTCTTTTTTACTTTCTGAGTTTCCTATTAAACTACCCACATTAACGTAGTTTTTATGTACAATGAATAGAATATAGATATTTTTGTATGTTTAATTTTTCAAAAAATTGAAACATGATAAAAAGCTTAATAATCAGATGCAGAAGTTTGTTCTGATTTCTGGTACAATCAAATTTCTTTAGCAGCATAAGAATCCTTATTTATATTGGAGAGATGATGGTAAAATAACCCTTAGATCACTAGGAAATAAAGCTTTCTATTTGGTTGGCCTTAATGCCAAAAAAGGTATCTCGGTGAAGATTTCGTTTCTGATAATGGCACACTCGATGGTGTATTTCTGGGCGATTATTACTCTTCCTATGTGCTCAGTGTTGCTCTATGTCTGACCTTTTTCTTTGTGACAAACCCCATTTCAGGTGCTCTGTAGCACTTTGAAAACACACTGCCAAGGCTGTCTTGTTTTATTGCTTAAATAAAGAGTAAGAAAGTGGCAGTCTGCTGTGCTTTGACTTTTTCAATTACAAGAATCTTTAATAAATAGTCATTCTACCCTTTCCTTACATGCAAGTGCAGTTGTAAACAGGGGAAATGGGAGTTCCCATCCAGTCAAATTAAAGACCCGTTAAAGCCAAAGTAGTACAAGATGCTACAATATTTCAAATATATGACATTTAAATCCTAATATCTCTTCCTTGTGACAAAATGTTAAAGGTAATAGATTGTCACAACATGAACCATTCTCATGACAATAAATGTAATGAGATTGTCAGAAACACAAACCTAACTGTGATGCAGTCTGGAGATTGTAATCTAGTTTGGTTCTGCCCAAGAGCTAGAGAGCATGTTCTGTGAATTGTGTACTATTTTTAAATTGTAGTGTTATTTTTTCTTTCCTCTAAGCAAAACTTTTTAACTGAGATATTGAATTTAGCTACCCACATTCTTCCAGCAATTGGATATGTTTTCCTACTTGAATTTTCAATTATTATACTTAAAGATCAAGTACTGTTATCTGAGAATCTGTCTCCTCTTCTCCTTCACTATAGAATTTCTTTGTCCATGTGGGTTTAATTGTTGTTTTTCCTCCCTATTCTTACAGCCAGCAATACAGGAATGCATAGGAGGCAAATCACTGACCTTTTAGACCAAAGTATTCAGGTGCATTCCCAGTGCTTCGTCATCACTTCAGACAACCGCTATATTCTTGTCTGTGGCTTCTGGGATAAGAGTTTCAGAGTCTATTCTACAGACACAGGTAATTTTTATTTTCTTTATCAGTGAGCTAAAGTTTACTATAAGTAGCATTGAGAGGCTTAGAATGCATTCTCATCTGCTTCTTTCTAAAAATTATAAAATCCTAATATTTACAAAATAAAGAGAGAAGGGCATTGTTTTCCCTCTTCAAATAATAATCTACTATATGTAGTTCACTATTAAATTTGCATCACCATGTTTTTTATAGTAGGTTTGTGTCCCAAGCTCATGCTTACAGAATAAATGATTCATTTTGAAGGCAAGTCCTGGTATGTAAATACCATGCATGAGTGTATGCATAATCTCATGGCAAGTGCACATACATAGAAGTGTATTTTGTCACTTTTGTATTATTTAAAGGATTTTCTTTTCCTTACTTGAAAGACTCATTAAGTCTAACTCTTGGCAGTAGATATCTTGCCTAGATATCTTGCCTCTACCCAATTCTGCATAGAATCTTGCTGAAATCTACACCATCATGAAGAAAAGTGGCTGACTATTGATTTCATGTGTGACAGGAGGTCCTGTTAAAATATAAAAGTTTTAAGTCTATGTATTCATTTATATGCATCTCCCTAAGGGACAAACCAGCTCAGCTCAGTCTTACAGAAGATCTGGTTGTGTAAATGTTTATAAATTTTTGCATATAGGAAATTGAGAAACATTGAGAAATTTAATGGTGTCCCTTAAAATATTTTAGAAATTGTTAGAGGATGAAATAAAATTATAGTAAATATATAGTTTAATATTTCAAATAATTAAAATGAGATAGTAATTCATTAGAGCTAATTGATCTACAGTCATGTGTTGCTTAACAACAGGCATACATTCTGATAAATGCATTGTTAGGGGATTTTATCGTTGTGCAAACATCATAGAGTATGCTTACACAAATTGGGTGGGATATCCCAGAATAATGTAGGCTATATGGGGTCACCTATTGTTCCTAGGCTACAAATCTGCACAGCATATTACCATACGGTATACTGTAGGCAATTGTAACACAATGGTAAGTATCTGTGTATCTAAATATATCTAAAAATAGAAAAGTAGAGTAAAAATATGATAAAAGATAAAAATTCCACTGTCTTCTGCAGGTAAAAAATAATAATAATAATAATAAAAGATAAAAACTGGTTTACCTAATAGGGTACTTCCCATGAATAGAGCTTGTAGGACAGGAAGTTGTGCTGGGTTGACACAGTGAGTGAGCAGCCAGTCACTGTGAAGGCCTAGGACATGACTGTACATTACTGTAAACTTTATAAAACTCTGCATATTTAGGCTACACTAAATTTATTTTACAAATTTTTTCCTCAGTAATAATTGGCTTACTGAAACTTTTTCACTTTATAAATTTTTTAATGATTTTAAACTTTTCAACTCTTGTAATAACACATTGCTTAAAATACATATTGTATAACTATAAAAATATTTCCTATATATCTTTATTGTATAGCTTTTTTCCTATTTTAAAAATTTTTAGAAAACTAAGACACAAACATATAAATTAGGCTAGGCCTCCATAGGGTCAGGGTGATCAGTATCACTGTCTTCCACTTCCACATTCTTGGCCCACTGAAAGTCTTCAGGGGCAAGAACATGCATGTAGCTGTCATCTCCTATGATAACAATGCCTTTTGGAATACTACCTGAAGGGCCTGCCTGTGCCTATTTTAGAATCAACTTTTTCTTTTTATATGTAGAAAGAGTTTACTTTAAAATAACAATATAAAGTATGGGATAATAAATATATAAACCAGTAACAGAGTCATTTATTTTCAAGTATTATGCACCATACATAATGGTATGTGCTATATCTATATACCTCTTGCAGTGCAGTAAGTTCATTTACACCAGCATCACCACACACGTGAGTGATGCATTGAACTACAGTGTTACCACAGCTATGATGTCACTACGTGATAGATATTTTTCAGCTTCATTATAATATCATGGGACCACCATCATATATGTAGTCCATCGTTGACCAAAAAGTTGTTATAAAGCTCATGACTATATACTATGAAAGTAGATATTTCAACTGAAACAAAGACCTAGATATATCTTTATGTAATGTTGTAGGAATTGAAAAATCTTTTTAATTGAACTTCCTAGTTATTTAAATGCCTTATGGTAAATCATCTTCCAGTCTTGTTAATAATCTTTATAAAATGTTTGAGTCCATACTCCTGCCTTAATAAATATAGTATATAGAACAATTAATTTTTGGTTATTCAAGGAGTTTGTTCTTGAACATCTTTTTATCTTTATTGTTTGTTATATGGAATTGATTATGTGGTTTACTTACAGTTTGCATCTTTATTCTGTAGGTGTAGGAAAGAAAGCATCACCATTCAAGCCTTTCTGATTATTTGGGCTTTTACTAGATGTTTAAGTCTATGGGGTGGATTACTATTGAACCTAAACCCTTATTTAACCTTCTCTAATAATTCAATGGCAAGTTTTCTTAAAATATATTTATTTTTATAAATTTCCTCAGATTTGTCAAATTCAAATGTTAGCTTTTCTTTCAGCCATTATAATGATAACCCTTAGCAATATTTGACCTCAAATTGTGCTCTTTTTGCACAAACTTTGAGGTTAAACCTGTCACACCCTTTCACAAGATTTTCCTTCTTTCTTTTTTTCTGCTTATTTTAAAGAGACAGTTGGAGTACAGTGGCACAGTTATGGCTCACTGCAGCCTCAAACTCCTGGGCTCAGGTGATCCTCCTGTATTGTCCTCCCAAGTAGCTGGGACCACAGGCACGTGCCACTACACCCAGCTATTTCTTGGTTTTTTTTGTTTGTTTTTAAAGCTTTTATAGAGACAAGGGTCTCACTCTGTTGTCCAGAGTGATCTTAAACTCCTGGAGATTTTCTTAAATATTCTTTTGGACTTCATATTTCTTTTCCACATATTTTTTTAAGTGATTAAAAATTTTTAAACCTGAAAATGAGTTTTACACTGTAAAACAGAGCTAATAGAACTGTAAAGCAGTCTTTTTGGTTTACAGTTCTATTAGTTTTGGCAATGCATTGAGTAGTTCACCGCCACAGTCAAGGTGCAGAGCGCCCCCACATACCCTGTGCCACCTACTAGAAGTCAGCTTTTTATGCCACCCTCAACCTCCTGGCAGTAACTGGTCTATTCCTCATCTCTAGTTGTGCCTTTTTCAGAATGTCATATAAATGGAAGCACAAACCATGTCAATCTTTGGTTTTGGCATTCGAGTTTTTTTAGTTTGTTGACATTCTATATTATTGCTTTTTAAAGCATGCAATATTAATATTCGTAAAGTAAAGCTAACTTCACTTTTATATACTACTACTAATTGAAATCCTATATTCACACAGTTTTATAGAATTTATAAAATTCTTTCACATGCTAGGTATTGTTTCAGTCTCATAATAATCCTGTGGTGTGGACAGGTGTCTTATCCCCATTTTTCAGATGATGAAACTGAGGTTTAGTGAGATTATGTAACTTGTTGAAATTTATGTAACTAACAGTGATAGAAGTAGGCCTTGGACCTACCTCTTCTAATTTTAAATGTAGCATGCTTTGTGATTATACCATGTTGTCTCATCCAGGTGTTACCAGTCAGTCACTTTTCTTTGGGAAAATGCTGTAATTGGTAATACTAGGTTCCTAATATGTCTGCCATGTTACATTAGATGTAATAAACCTGATATCATTCTTTTCCCTCTTTCAAAATACCGCGGTGGCTCAAGCCTGTAATCCCAGCACTTTGGGAGGCCGAGGCGGGTGGATCACGAGGTCAAGAGATCGAGACCATCCTGGTCAACATGGTGAAACCCCGTCT